CTGAGTAAAGGGTATCTGATAGTTGAGGCACTGGTCTATAGCGTTCTCTTGTGATAAATGTTAAAAAGAACCAAAAGTCCCTAAGCCTATCGAAGGTTTCTCAGATTAAGTTATGACCTACTTTCCGTTGCAGACAACTTTCAACAAGACGTATGCTTCGACTTCAGCTCGCAACTTTGCCAACTACTACTTCATCTACAACCGCAACCAGGTGGCTCAGCACAATGCCCAGGCGGACCGGAATCGCACCTCTTATCGCGAGGCGGTCAATCAGTTCTCGGACATCCGGCTGATCCAGTTCGCAGCCCTTCTGCCCAAGGCCGTATCCACGGTGTCGTCGGCGGCCAGCGATCCACCCACCACCCAAACGGCAGCCGCCTCCTACGACATCATCACAGACTTCGGACTGACCGTAACGGTGGAGGACCAGGGGGTTAACTGCAGCAGCAGTTGGGCTTATGCCACCGCCAAGGCCGTGGAGATTATGAATGCTGTGCAGACGGCCAATCCGCTGCCTTCTTCTTTGTCCGCCCAGCAACTGCTCGATTGCGCGGGAATGGGCTCCGGGTGCAGCACACAGACACCCCTGGCTGCCCTAAACTACCTCACCCAGCTGACGGATGCGTATTTGTATCCGGAGGTGGACTATCCCAACAACAATACACTGAAAACTCCGGGAATGTGTGAGCCTCCTTCCTCAGTGTCAGTGGGCGTGAAATTGGCCAGCTACTCTGCAGTGGCCGATAACGATGATACCGCCGTAATGCGTTTCGTATCGAACGGGTTCCCCGTGATCGTGGAGTACAATCCGGCAACCTTTGGCTTTATGCAATATTCCAGTGGGGTGTACGTGCAGGAGACGAAGGCCCTGACCAACCCCAAGAGCTCTCAGTTCTTAGTAGTTGTGGGCTACGATCACGACGTGGACTCCAATCTGGACTACTGGCGGTGCCTGAACTCCTTCGGAGAAACGTGGGGCGAGGAGGGTTATATCAGGATTGTTCGCAGGTCTAACCAACCCATTGCCAAGAATGCCTTCTTCCCCAGTGCCCTGGCCTAAACATGAGGCTTTTCGTAACAAATTTCAAATAAAAACTTGATTTGATGTAAAAACTACTAGAACTAAACTTTTTGTTAAGGGGAAGTTTATCAAATTAAGGTGGTCATGAAGACAGCATACATGGGTCTCTTAAGTTTCTCCACTAAGGAAAAAACCCACTGGTCTTGTTTCAAAACCATTTAGGTACCAGGAACCACAGGCGCGAAATGGACTCTTTTTTCATTTTAAGAACGTTTTAGTCTTAGGCCAGCATTCTAAATTTAAGAACATTTTCAGGCGAAATCAACTATGAAAAGTTCTTGAACTAAGAATTTATTATGCTTAAATTAAGAATGATTTCTTTTTAACCCAATTCTAAATTATAAAAATTGTATTGAGAATTAAAAAAAAGTTTAACATTTAATTTAATAAATATATTAATTAAGTACAAGTTATTCTCAAATAAACTATGAGTTATTCTTCAAGCTTCTTTAATACCTATCGACGCCAAAAAATTTAGCCACGCCCTCCCTAACACCCACAAACCGCCCACAAATTTCAAAAAAGCGTAGATATGAACGCTGATATCCCGGAAACTATCAAGGATAGACAATTGGGATTTCAGTTTTATATGCGAATATGTCACGCCCACAAACCGCCCAAAAAAGTACCGCCCACAGTTTACATGGTAGGAACCAATTTTAACTGCTAAGATTTTTATACGCGTTACTCGTTGAGTATGTACCAGGCAAAAGGAGCGTATAAGTTTAAATATGGGCCGTTCTTAACAAACAGAACGGATTTCGCAAAAAATATTTTTTCACATTTTTGACTTGCCAGAAAATATTTAAACTTTGCAAAAAAACGACTTATTTCAAAAACTACCTCTGTTTAAAAATCTGTATCGCCAGCTGTAGTTTTCCGATTAAATTCGTTTTTATACCCGTTACTCGTAGAGTAAAAGGGTATACTAGATTCGTCGTAAAGTATGTAACAGGCAGAAGGAAGCGGTTCCGACCCCATAAAGTATATAAATTCTTGATCAAGATCACTAGCCGAGTGCCACGCCCCTCTAACGCCCACAAACCGCCCAAAACTGTGGCTCCTACAGTTTTGATGCTAGAATAAAAATTTTAACTGAAATGTATTGTTCTCGTCAATTCCTATCGATTGACCCAAAAAAAAGTTTGCCACGCCCACTTTAACGCCCACAAACCGCCCACAAACCTCAAAAAATCGTAAATATGAACGTGGATATCTCGGAAAATATCAAAGATAGAGAATTGGGATCTCAGAGTTCGATTCCGTAGCCTTGCACGCAGCGCAAGTTTGTTACGCGAATATGCCACGCCCACTCTAACGCCCACAAACCGCCCAAACCTGTGGCGCCCAAAATTTTCATGCTAAATAAAAAATGTTAACTGAAATGTATTGGTCTCGTCAATACCGATTGATCCAAAAATAACGCTTAAATCTGTCTACCGCCGGTAGGTGGCTCATTTCAATCTCGCTTTGCTGCTTGAATATCTCCATTTCGCTTTGGTTCCTTTAGCTGAGTAACGGGTATCTGATAATCAAGGTACTCGACTACAGCGTTCTTCCTTGTTTTGTATTTATTTCTCTAGAACCTCTACTTTACAAATTCATTTTTTTAAAGCAATATTTTTTTTGGTTTTTCTAAAAAAAATTAAAATAAAAGAAAAGGTTATGTTTTGCACCCACTTAAAAAGAATGGGTTTTGATTTTAATATAACGTCCATAGATCGCCCAAAAAATATAAACGGAAATTTATTACTTTTCCCTTAACTGACACCTTCAATTAGTACCCTGGAAAAATGAGTTCAATTCACAAATGTGAGTTCAGCAGATAAGTTGTGACGCTGCGCTCAATAACGACAGCCCGAACGAAAATCTCACGGCCCGGAATTTCGTTGCGTAACATTACTCTTTTGTTCCCTGGTCCTCGAACTCCTCCTCGTCATCATCCGTCTCCGTGCTCCACCAGCACCGGCTTGTCGGACTCGTTGAATAAGTCTATCAAACTCCGATTTACCACTCTCTTATATCATCACTATCTATAGGACTTACTAATGAATTACATTTTTTTATCGGTTTTAAGCCATATTCAGATAAAAATAAAAATCTCAGTCTTTTTGGATCTCGACCATTTTGTTTGCATGAATTTAATGGATTTTTGTGTTGGCAATCCATAAACCCATTACGTTGTAAACAAACTGACCATATTTTATACCCACTATAGTGTTTTAAGTTGTTAGATAGGATTCCGCAGCTAAATACCCGTGTAATTTTATTAAATTTTGTTTTGTATTTGTTGTGAAAGCTTATAGCTTTTTGTCTCCATTTATTGAATTTACTTTTTTATTTAGTTTATTTATTGATTTTTCATCTACAAGCGGAGCTTTACAGACTTAAATGCTAAAAATTAACAAGTTCACTTTATTTACTTTTCTTGTTTTTCGCATCTTTTTTCTGCTCATGGATTTTATTCTATTATTTCTGCTGTGTTTTTCTGTTATCATCTTCTTGCATAATAAATAATTTTCCCACTTTGTTGCTATTCGTGTTGCTGTGATATAAAAACGAAAGGAAATGATATTGATATATATTTAGGTATTATATTTATGGTTATAGAATATTCGACTCAGCCAGCGCAGACAAAAGCTTTTTGGTGTGTGTTCTTTCTGTAGATTTCTTACTTTTTGTTTACTTATCCATACATTTTTTAAGTTTCAGTAACTTGTTTGAAAACTTGTTATTATTAATATTTTCTCATTATTATATTTCAATTGCATTAAATAATTTGAAATATAAGTATGTATGTACGTTGTGTTTGCATTTTGTTTTAGTTTAGTTTTACTTAGAATGTCTTCCCGTCACTTGTGAAGCAAAGCTCAATGATATGATCCACGCTAAAAGGTGTTTTAACTTGTTCTTTATTATTTTCAAACATTTGCAGTTTATAAAGATTGGCGTGATCTTGTGTTTTTCAGTATTTTTTGGATGTGCTTGATTTGCAATTATTTTGGGTTACCTTCTTGAAAAAGTCTTTCCGATGAAAAACAAAATTAAAATAATTATTCCTCATAATTGGTTTAGTTACGGGATCTTAAGTACTCTGACTAGTTAATGGAATATTGATTTTAAATTGTTTTTCATTTTATTATTTGTTTCTTCTTTTTTCTATTACGGTACAACGGCTAGTGTTTGTTATTCATTTTATAAATTAAAATTAGTTAGGTTTATCTACATATGCTCTCGCTTCTCTCTGTTGTTATCTCATTATCTTTCCATATAATTCTTAATAATATTTAACTAAATAAATAATGTTATATAATTTATGCAATTCTTCATGTATATATATATATATATCTTTTTTTTCTACACAAAATGATGTGTTTGTAACTGTTTTTTATATGTTGGCTAGTGTTTCTGTTTATTAATATCTTGCCATGCTCTGTGTTGACTGTACCTTCGTTTGTGTTAGTATTGTTTTGGGGACACAAATCAAAATGTTTATGCACTTTCCGTCTAAAGTATTAGGAAGATTTATGTATATTACCCATGTTTTCATTTTCACTGTTACCAGACGAAGGTCGATCTTTTGTGAAAATGTAATCGGGATCATAGCTGTTTAGTTTGTATGATGCTTATAATGGACACATTTTATTTTTCCTTCTCAGAATTATTACTTTACGGATTCGCTTTTTTGCAAGTAGGCTTATTTTAATTTATTTACTTCGTGTAAATTTTAATAAGTTTTTCTAATTTAGTTCTTCATGAAAATGGATTTTCGGGTTTTAAATGAGTTATGAATGCACATCACTGCAAATTCTTTGCCGTAAAGATAGATGTTCATCTTTAGAATTTGCACTAACAGGCTTCATAAGGGGGTTGCCTTTGAGGTTTGCCCTACCCCATTTATTGTTTTAAGTTAAATAAAAACTGAAAACTAAGCTTGGAAACGAAACATAAGTAATGGCTCATTTACTACACGTTAAGATACATGAGCTCCAAATTACAAATAATTTTATAATTAATCAAATACGATAAAATCGCTTCACAATAGTAGAAGAATTTCGACATAATAAAATCGCAAATTCAAGTTGTTGCAGGGGACATCCCGTACAGAAAGGTGTGATTTGGACTCACAGGTTTCTTAGGATTTACCTCAATTATAAACTGACTAGGCAAAATGCTGGGTAAAATGCAACTCACAAACAACGAAAAATAGACTGAAATATTTATAAAACTTCTCGGGTTTTTTACAGCTCTTTCTCAAAATCCATAAGCCTTGAACAAGAGATGCACCTATTTTTTCTGATCTTATGCAAAGATGGTAAATCTGCTTCAGAATAAAATAAGGTATTTCTGCATCATGACAAATGGTATTTAGATTGTGACTTATGCAATGGATCAGCGATCTGTATTGTTTATTTAGTTTATCGGGGTCGACGGTTTTTTTTTAGGCGGAGACATTTACTGGCAGTTTTTTTGTATTTTTAAATTAATTTTCAACAAAAGCTTAAACAATTTTTATTTATTACTGCCCCCAAAAAGTGTGTTTACCTTCTTGTTTATATCCTGTTGCTTTTTATAATGTCTGTGTGAACCCATAAGGTAATTTAATTAAATTGTCATGTTATTCTTATTATTTTTACGCTTACGAACAAATTAAATTAAATATTAAAGTAAATTATGCAACTAAATGAACATCAATTGCAGACTTGAAACGAAAAACCACTTAAAACAAAGTCGAAAACGATAAGTACAAGTGAACTCAGTGAAATGCTAGATCGAGCTCAATTTACGAGCTCTGGAATCGTATTGTGTGCCTCGAGTTCAGCAGGAGTGTAAGTCCGGCGAAGAAGACGAGGGGCAGCATCATCCACTTGGCAACAGGTGAGTCGGCTCCGTTGCACAGATCCTTGGTGCAGGAGCAGTAGATGGCGGCCACATCGTGGGTTCCCGAGCGCCTCACGCACTTGGTGTCGGTGTGTTCATCTGGGATGTATCCGCAGCCTCGCACGATCCGGGTCTTCCCGTAAACTTTAGGGAAAGTCAAGGTGAATAAGCAAGTGCTAGGCTGTCTGATTCCAACTTACTCTTTTGAACGGTTTTGCGGCACAGGGTGGGCTTGTACTTGTCCTTGAGGTGCTCCAGGGGCTCTTGTTTGCTGCAGTTCACCTCCCCAATGGAGTACGGCTCAAAGGGATCGCCGCACCGGGGATCGAACTCGCTATTGCAGTCATAGCACATCAGGGCAGTAGTCACTAGAAGTTGGAATAGAAGAGTAACGATCCATACAGAAGACATGAAGATAGAGGAACTAGGCAAATGTGAATTATAATTCACACTCAAAAAGTATGCTCTCTGGATTCTACAAATTTGGAGTTATTAAGGATATAATCAGTATAGACAATATTTTTTAAATAAAGTAAGTTTCCTAAAATAAAAATATTTGTTCCTAAAATAAAAAAAAAATTTCAATAAGCTTCGTATTTATAAAGGTCTAGCCAAATACCTTTTAGTGCAGAATTACATTTTTAATGTATAATAATAATTTAACTTAATAATATCTTTAAAAAATGTATCAAATGAGAGGTCAAAAACCGGTAAAATACCTACTTACTAATATTATTTTTTAACTAACTATCTCAAACCATATGTGACGATTTATAAGCACCTGCTCCTTCAAGGTTTTTGAATTATCTTTTCTTTACTACTCTAAACATTTGTCTAACTTCAATAACTGGGTAAATTGTCTTAAAGCTGGATTTTGTAGGCGTCTTAAATTTATAAGCCAAGATTATATTGCGATTTTCGGTTTTGCTTATGGGAGCTGTCCATAAATTACGTAATAATAGTACTTATATAGTCTTAATCTTAAAGAAACTAAGCTGATTTGTTAAAAATAAGCCATTACCATTTACCTAACTCAAAAAGTAAAAATCCCAATGGAAAGGAATAGTTACAAAGATGCAGTAACTGTCATTACGAGTTACATATGTTAATTATTGTACTAAATGTTAATTAAATAATTAAATAGTTAAATTAATTTTAAGTTTATTGCTGTCAATCAAATAAGTTAGTTAAACCTGATCAGTAATAAAATATAAAAGTATCTAAAATAAAAGCAGCAGCTTAAAAATTATTCATCTTAAAACAAAAAAGCAAGGAATGTGGTTTGCGAAAAGCTAATCATATTCGGACGAATGGACTTTTGTTAGAACTATAATGTTTGGAAAAATATATATATAATAAATCCAATTATTTTAAAAAGTATATTTCTCTAAGTTCCGAGATATGCAAATATCGGATATCAAGCAAAGAACCCAAAATGTTTGGATGCTCAACGTTTTATAAGCAACGGCTTAAATTATATACAACTTAAGGTCTCCGCTCTTTAAACGGGTGTGGGTGCAGCGCCACGACCACTTTCTCCGATCCGTGGTATTATGGCATACTATTCTTAAAGTGTGTTTACATAAAGCCAAATGTCAGGGCTTGGGGCTGCGTCAGTGTGTGTTTGTGTGGGGTCTGAATGTTTTTCGCATTGCATAAACTTTGGGGCTTTGGCTTACCTTGTATGCAGCAAAGCACGCCTAACAACAACAACGTCTTTTCCATGAATGGCGACATTTTGTATGTATTTGGGTTTATTGCAGTTAATTATTTAATCTTTATGTTTGGATTTTGAATCCACGCTGTTTGTCCGGCGGCTGGAGCAACAATTTGTTCGCTGGCGCTTGGGTTTCGCTTTCGATGGACAATTTGCGAACTGATTCGGTGCTAAATTAGCATGTTAGCCTGAAAGTTGCGACGAGAAAGCAAAAATAAGTTCAAACTTTAAAGTAATTCAGAAACATTCACTTGTACAGATATGCATTGCGAACCACCCGCGGACGATTAGCGAAAACGTTCCACATAATTCGACTGCAATGAAAAGTGAAAATCGCAGGGCAAAAATAAATCCAAAGGAAAGAAGCAGAAAGAAAGGGGCGAAAACACGAAGTGGGACGAAGAAGAAAAATCGAGTGCAGCCCGCGGGCGGGAAAGGGACGGCAAGGAGACGACGCAATGCAACTAGAGCGCTCTCCCTCGCCCACTCCCTCCTGTCCGCTCTCTCTCTCTTTCTCTCTGATGACGCGCGCCCTCTAGCGACCCAATTAGTGAGCTTGTGGATCCCATGCGGGACCCATTGGAATGACGAGTTTCTCGGCTGATTTTTTAAACTTTTACCCACTTTTTATTTCTTGTCTTGGGATCGACTGCCCGTTTAATTGGATTGCAATGATTGCTCAAACGCAGTACCATCTTTCTTCCCTTTTTCCAACGGGCAATTGATTTTCCCAGCCTGCACTACCAGTTTTTGTGGACGGTGGGTAATTGCTAACGGTTGTCGGTAGCTAGGTAACAAACTACCAATATGTACCTCCCATTAAGCCCCTGTCTATCCACCGCTCTCTGGGCCTTTTAATAGTTTTGCCAGCGTTTGCAATTTGTGGGTAAGTGGTTCGAAGCCACCCCGGCCAAGGGTTAATCTGTTTTCCTTTTTCATATTTGTCAAGCGAAAAGGCTTTCTTGGGCTTTGCCTACGCTTACGAACGTCAAATCTGATTGAATAGGTTTAAGTGGGCTACGAGCATTGTACATTGCACACATGTTACCTACAGCATTTTGTGCCAGAATTAGATACACCTTAAATAAACTTAATAAAAAAATAAAATCAATCGTTAAGAAGATCTTTCATAAGAAATTCGAAAAGTTGTATAATTATAAATATTTTTTTTGTCCTTCATTTACACTATACAAAAATGTTAAGCTCGATTTTGGAAATGTGTTTATATTCCTACGAATACCTACGAGTATCTGCATTTATAAGATACTCCACATGACTACCAGAATTTAAATGAGCAATTTCCCGACCACTTAAGTAATTACATTGTCAACCCATTTCCGGAGCCCCTGCAGTTCCATTGGCCATTTCGGCCTCACTGTAACCACAGCCCCATTGCAAACCCTTTATGGCACGTAATCGGAAAAGTGCAATGCACTGAAGCCTTAGCTCGATTCTAGAGCACTGCCGTTGGGCCCACTTCGAAATTGTAGAGACCCGGGAATGGAGAAAGAACAAAGTGGGCAGACAGATCGGAATAGAAACATTACGCGTACGCCCCGCTGTAGCCAAAAAATTAGGGTTTCTGGCACACAATCTCAGGTATCGGAGGAGGTCTCCCTCCTTATAAGGAAGACGACTAAAAACCGAGCAAATGAAAAGCCAATCAATATGGTAGTCAAGGGGCCGTTGTCATGTCGGCCACTCAATCCCAACGAAATGGGGTTGTTGTCGGTCGACGGACAGGCAAACACGAAGAGTTCCAATCGACAGGCTATATGGGGCTATATGATACGTAACGATGGAGGGGATGGCTTGATTGAGTGGGGCTATTTCATGTTAGTTTCCCATCAGCATTCGATGTTCAGTTGCATTTTGCAGGACATGCAACACCACGCTTCTCTCCTCGGAAAATTCAATAACTGACCCAGTTCAGGTCCTGTGCTAGCCCACTTTTTCGCTACCCCCTTTCCTCCTTTTTTTGTTATCAACTGTCTCCGTCTTTTGGCATTTCCTCCGGGAAATGTTTTGAGTTCCCTTCCTGCCAGTGGGCTTTTCTTTGAGCTGGTTCTGCTTGTTGTTATGTAATAGCCCAGACAATTGGCAGAAGCACGAATCTGGCATATCGATTTAGCCATTAAAAAAATAGAACGAACAAAAAGTTGAGCAGCACAAGTGGCATAAATAGTCACCCAGGTAAAATTATTAGGGGTTGGGTCTGTTCTTTTGTTGTGTAATGCCGTCGAAAGCCTCGGGGATTAATGGATTCTTGGTCATAGAGGCAAGCTTATGAGACTGGCTATCGGATAATTAGCCACTTGATTGTTAGGTATAGTAATTTTATTTTAGCTATTCTGGTTTTTGAAATCTATTTAGTTTAAATTCTAAATCAGCAATGTTTTTCGATGTATTCATAGTCCATTTTCCTTTCGAACCATTTGAAGTTTCAGTTTGTTTTGTAATCACTTATGCACTTCGTTTCTCCATTATTTTAAAGTCACATTTCACTTTTACTTTGGCAGTTATATAATACCAGACCCCCACGACTATTGTCAATACTTTTCCACAAAGTTTTCCTTTCGAAACAAATTTCTTTTATTTATTTACGTAAGAGTGGAGACATTTGGAATTTGCCTGGCTTTCGAACTATTTCAAGCTGATGACACCAAAGTGGAATGAAAAACCCCGAAATGAAAAGCGAAAAGAAAATCGGATGTCAGGGAGAAGGGCTCAGCAAACGGGTGGGGGTGGGAGGTGTCGTGGGGAAGAAGGTGGTGAAAAAGGGGTGGCTTGTGGGCGTAGGGGTGGAAAGTTGTGGGTGAAGGGTTCCGGCGGGTGGTCCGATTTAAGTGCGATTTCAGTGCAAATTCTCTCGCAAGGACGAAGCCCAAAGTCAAAGCGACCGAGAGAAACGGAGAAAGAGAGAACCAGTCACCCTGAGAATGAGAAAGAGAGAGGAGGGTGGACTTCAAAAGAAAGAGAGGGGTGCGAGCGCCCTTTTGAGAAACCAAGCGAAAAAAGTTAAATCGATAGCGAACCGCGCCACTGAAACGGGATTATCTAACACGGCTTTAAGGCCCGATGGTCCCAAAATTGCGAAATTTCGCCACTTTACACTCGATTCGATTTCTTGGCTACCTTTTAAGTTGTCACGCAATCGAACTCGGACTCCCAATTGTCGATACTATGCCAAAGGTTTCCTTGTTTTTTGTGGACTCTGTGATGCGATCACGCGACGCGATGCAACCCCAAACACGGTGAAATTCTTTCTGAGCGCTCTGTCGAATCCGCAGTTGTCCGCAGGCCGCTTCTCTGGCGGCCGGCGAGATTCCCGAAACAGTTCTCTGGGAGGCTTCTGCGAGAACGAGACTGCGCACTGAAAACCCTGACAATCCACAAACTTTATACACTTTTTTTTTAATTTTGTCTTCTTATCTGTTTTAGCGTTGTCCAAAAAAATTTACAAAACAATATTTGAAATATAAAGTATTAGCTGTTAAACTTTTAGTTAATTGGAAAATTGTACATTTCATTTTGTTAATAAAAACGTTGTATACCCTTGCAGTGAGGGGGAGATTTTCCCGACCCTGCAAATTATACACTTATAAAATTATTTTTTTAAATACTAGAAAAGTCGCTCTAAGATTAATAAAAATGTTCTTATTTTAAGGAAGGTCAGTCCAGAATAGGAGAAAAATAGTTAGTTTTCTTAAGATGACAAGTTTGTATATAATTAAATGTGATTTTTTTCGAGCAGATGCTTTATATCTATTTATAAGCGTTTCCGACCCCTAAAAAGTATACGAGTATATCCTCTTGATCAGGATCGCTAGCCGAGTCAATCTAGCTCTCTCCGTCTGACCGTCTGTGTGAACGCAGTGATCTCGAAAACTATAAGATCTACAGGAATCAAAATCTGGAATATTAATTAATATGTTAATTATTATTATTATCATAATATATTAACTAATATTCCAGATTTAGATTCGTTTATCTGAAGGAATCTAAATCTGGAATATTAATTAATATATTAATTATTATTATTATTCCTTCAGGTAAACGTTACTCAGGTTAAGAGAGCAAGACGGAGAAGGAGATCTACAAGCAGCAAGGCGAGATTGCAATGCGCCACCTACCCGCGATTTCGATATATGGTTATGTGGGCATTAGAGTGGGCGTAGCAAACTCTTTTTAGGACAATCGATAGGTGTTGATGAAATAATATGTCTGTTCAAATTATTTTTTCTGCACTAAAATTGTAGGAGCCACATTATAAGTATGTTTGTGGGCGTTAGAGTGGGCGTGGCACATTGCCGTGACTAAATTGCTCTGCGTACGAAGCTAAGAAATCTAAATCTAAAATCCCAACTCTCCAGCTTTGATGTTTTTTCCCATATATCAGTGTTCATAGGACGAATTTTGAAGTTTGTGGGCGGTTTGTTGGCGTTAGCTGCCTAACGTCGCAGTTTTGGACAGTTTGCGGGCGTTAGAGTGGGCGTGGCTTATTCGTGTAACAAACTTGCGCTGCGTTCGAAGATAAGGAATCTAAATCTTAAACACTCTACCTCTTATACTTTTAGAGATATCAACGTTCATATGCGTGGCACCCTGATTGAATAAGCTTGCTCTGCGCAAGAACCTCTAGAATGTGCATGCATTCAATACTAAACAATTTTTTGTTCTCAAGTAAAAATTTTAATTTTCTGTGTTTAAGAAAAAAATCTAAAATAGAAAAAATATTTACTAATCTTTAGCAAAATTTGCATTAGAACGTCCAGGTTTTTATATATTCTTACTTTTTTATTCAAGGCCGAAAGTTGCTTTTGACGCATGTGGTGTAATGGCTTACTTCTTAAGTTGAAATCCCTACTTCCGGCTGCCCAATTTCTTTTATTAAAATCTTATCTGCTTGATCGAAGGTTTATGGTCGAGGGGAGAGGGGCGTCGTGAGTCCCGTTTTGTTTACCCTGTTCACGTCAGATCTGCCGTGTCCTTATGAACCGAGCACACTTCTGGACACCTACACTCAGAGAAAAAAGGAAAGCGTTTCCGACTTTATTATGTATGTATGTTCTTGATCAGGATCACTAGCCGAGTCGATCTAGCCATGTCAGTCTGTCTGTCTGTTCGTCTTTCTGCCCATATGTATGAACGCTGAGATCTCGGAAACTATAAAAGCTTGAAATTTGGGATTTGGCAAGAAGATTCCTGAGAATCCTGCATCCTACATTTTTTAAAATTTTTTGAATCATTTACCATTTACATGCCAAAAATTACTCAAATCTGACGATTCAATTAAAATTATAACCAAACAATAATAAATAATCAAACAAAAACACCTCTTAACGGGGTAAGGAGTCGTGACGATCGCACCATTAACATATAAAAGTTCTGATACACAATTTTGTGACGAAAAATATTTATACATCCGACTAAATAAATACTCTTTCTAAAATATTTAAGCTTCTTGCATACAAAGGTATATTCTATTGTAGCGTGTACATGAATAACTAACTAACTAACTAACTGAACGGAGCATAGGATTTTAACAAATGAGGTGTGATTCGACGCGTATTCTCATGCGCCATTTATTCCCACCAGGCCAAATTCAAATTCTACATTTTCACTTTTACACTTTTTCTTCCAAGCCAATTAAAATTGTTTAAGTCTTGGTTTTACCAATCTTGTTAGTTCTTGCAATACCTTTCGATTGGTGTATTACTCGTTTCGATCGGTACCATCACTGCAGATTTTCAATTCTGCGGCTATATACTCACTCTCCTGGTGCGCTTCGTCACTACGTGAGCAGCCGTCCACATAAGAACCTGCTTTCTCGAGGCAGGCTATCAAAGCCGTCATTTCGAACAAGCTAGCTAATAACATTACTTGGCATAGAACTGCGTAGAAACCCATCATTCAATATATAATGCCTCAAAGATTATCTGTATTTTTACCTAACACAAACCAATTTTCATTTGTCTGTTATTAAACTTTACAATTAAAAGGAGCTGGACTTAATTTAAATTGTTCAGCAGCATTTCTTGCATGCCAGGGACCGTGTGTACATTAATACTACAATTTATAAATATAATAAGCTTCAGCTACAACAACATCAAAAACGCTCCTGCTTTTACGTCAGTGGACTGTAGAATCTTTCCTTGTATGACTCTTCCAAAATGGATCAAGGGTAGTCTTTTTCTTTACTTTTGCATTAAAAGCATGTTTTTTAAACTTTTTTCCAAAGATTTGTAATGGGTTTATCCATCTTATGGCTGCAAACCTTCAGACGACTCTCTTTCCGATTTGTTTTGGATTATAATCCTGGTGGAACTCCCAAAGCAAATATAATTTGTATTCCGAATAAAGTAGAGTATCAACGTAAATATGTTGATTTTTTATTGGTTTTCCTAATGATATGAACGTACACCATAGTATGATAAACATGGCCTACCCTTCTTGTTACTAGACTCACCATGTTTATTCTTTTAAGATCGTTAACCGGAGTAAAAATGTGTTGACCCTTACTGCGTTCCCAGTCAAGGGACATTTTATTAAGACTTCAGGCGCCTGTAAAATATTTATTTACGTAATATCATACTTTTCGTATACCTACTAATCTTAAACGGTAAGCTCCTAGAAAGCCTACTGGGACCTACTAGCATTAATGCACATTTTGACAGCTAGGAGGTCATTGCGGCTTTTCTACAACGCCTTTTTTGACCCATATTTAACTTTCATTTTATTTATGGAATCAAATTAAAGTACTTATCCTTGATGAATCAAAAAGGCCCAAGCAATTGAAGCTTCAAATCGTCAATAGTGCTATTTTTGTTGCCATTTAATTGTTCTACTTTTTTGATAAAGGCACCTAGGCTGTAAATACCGTGCACATGTTGGGTGTACTTTAATTAGTAAAAAAGTAACCCTAATAACTTTTAAAAACAGAATTAAATTATTGTAGAAAAAGGAACATACTTGTTTACCCGCAGAATTTAAAATCCGCCATTATAGTCCATTCGAAACCAGTGATAACTCGAAAGTGTACATATAAACAAACATTTTTTTATGCCACAATTTGTTATTGTTGTTGCTTAGGTACTTAAAGATTCTATAGTTTCAAATTAAATTACATATGTATTGAAAAGGCTTACATCACATATTATTGTTTGTGTTTTGGGCCAACGTGTCACCCCGTACAGATTTCTTTGTGTTATTTGAGTTGGTTTGTAGTACTTTCATTTTACTTACACATCGTTATTTAATAACTTTTTTTAAATATTTACAAAACAACTTATAGCAATAGAAAACGGTCTTGTCGAGTGCCTCGACTATCATGAACATTACTCAACTAAAGAATGTGCGAGAGATCGGCAAAGCCACGGTTTTATTTGCTTAAAACTTTTTAATGAATTGTACGATTTGATCATCATTTGGCATACGATGTGTATTGTCCACAGTTTTAACAGTCCTTTTTAAACTTTTACAAACTTGCGTCGCTCGGAAATCCCTAGGATCTGCGTGCCCAATCTCCACTTTCTGCATTTTATAGGTTCCGAAGTTTTAGCGCTCATACGCACAGATGCTGCTTAATCGATTTGGCTAGTGATCCTCAACAATATTATATATACCTACTTTATAGGGTCGGAAAAGGGATTGTTCCTATTACATACTCTTTTACTCTCAATTTACGGGTATAGCTATACCTTAATCTGCGGCCGATTGTAAGCATTATTCTTTTATTCAGCTTTTAATGGCTGTCATTATTTTGGTCCAGAAGGCTTGAACTTCGGGATCCTGCATTAGAGTGCGTTTTTTAACGTTCAATACCATGTTCAGAATGTCGGCGTTTTTGCAACAGTCCCGTCTTACGGACTTGCCGTCCGTCGCCTCCAGAAGAGTGCCCTCTGGTTCCTGTTCATCCAAGGGATCCGGCTCCGCAGCCGGACTGCCGAGTTGTCCAACTAAAAAAACCATATTCTAATGAGATGCTCACACAAAATATATAATCCCACCTTTCTTGCACTTTGTTGCCTCCGTTTTGGGTTTTTCTGTGCGCTTTTGATAGGGTTTTCGAGGCTTGGAATCATCTTTTCCCTTGCTGCGCTTCGGGTTTGGATTACTCGGCAACAACTCTGTACTCTCTATGGGATTTTCCGCATCCTGTTGCAAGCGTCGCTTGACATGTAAATTCAAACGTTCCTTTATGTTCTGCTGCTCCATCTTAACTTGTACATGCGATGATTCTTCCATGTTTTACGTTTTTAAAACAAAACAATTTCCAATCAGTCAATTAGTGTGACCCCTTACAGGGCGTAAAAAATAACCCAACTTTAGCTATAAAAGCGAATTTGAAATGCCCTTTTCCCACTGATTGATTTGGTGCAAGTACATTCTGTGTTGCAAACATTTTATTTTAGTATTAATGATATATGCATTCTTGACAAAACATAGTTCTTGTTCACAATGGCTTATTATTAAGTATGATCGAATTGGTAAGTTCCCTTATTTACACCACCTTAATAGCATTGGGCGAGATGCGAAATGCGGTAACTTCTATTGTTATCGATAATAAACTCCTGCCAATTGGATCGTGCCGTAGCTAGAACATATCTGAGTCCCGAACCCAGGGGTGCATTCGTACATAGTGGCAAATCTGGTATTTTCCAGCTCCGCCATGTTGGATTCCGCACAACAGTTAACAGCAGCAATCGAGAAATCTCTTCGGAGCGTTGAAAAATTAAGGAATAACGCAGTAAAAGTGCAGCTAAACGACCAAAAACATACGTAAAGTGTGAATAAAAGGACCAACCAGCGATTAATCATTAATTGAGCGTTGAGCAAGCGCGAAAAGTACGCGAAATCGACGTTTTGCAAAACGTCCGCAATACGCGTCGCCATTGGTGTGTGCGAATGTGCGTGTGAGTGGGGGAGTATTGGTGGGAGCGTCTGTGTGTGAATGTGTGAGCGAGCGGCCCCTATGAAAAGCAACAACAACAACAACAACAACGCCAGCAAAGGACCCACAGCAACAACAGCGTTTTAATTTTCAAATAATGAGTGTCGCTGCAATGACTATGGACGATCAAAGACCCTTGATGAACAGTTACGATAAAATGCCCCCGACCAAATACGAGCAAAACCTAAATATCCTAAACAGCAGCCAAAACAGTGGAGTCAGCGGCGGCCCCGCCTCCCCAACGCCCTCGGGCCTGGAGGACACGTCGTCACACCATCACCATCATCACCATCCGCACCATCACCACCATCAGGAGCAGCAACACTTGCAGCAGCATCAGCAACTCCAGCAGCAACAGCAGCAGCAGCAACACGCAGCAGCTGTTGCAGAGGCTGTTGCAGCCGCCGAACAGCGACAACGCTTGCTCGAAGGTATTTTGCACATTTTGGTACACTGCTATCTGATCAGAGATCTGATCTGTATAATACCCCCTATATACATACATACTCGTTTCAAACTCAAAACCACGATTTAAAGTGTCAACTCTGTGTAAATTGTATAAAAGAATCCACCAAAGAAAACTTAGTTTACTTAGTTTACTTCTCTCCCCTCCATTTGGGTTTTTGTGCCATTGAATTTGTTTATGAAAAACACTCGGAAAAGAACTCAACGTATATCATTATGTGAATCGAATCGAAGCGAACACTCTTTTTAACGAACATTCTTTCAGCGGCGTTTTGGTTATGTTTTAAGTTATTTTTTTACACACCACCCCAGCAAAACTCCACACAGTGAAAGTGCTTAAAAGGACCACGAAATAAAAAAGAAATATAATGCCTAAATATGAACTAAGAGCAAAGGCAACGAAGCCTGTAAAAGTTTTAAAGTGCCCATAAAGTGTTGTGCAAAAGAACTATACAAAATATAATTATAATCAATAACAAAACAAATATAATAATCAACACAGCTTGTAAATTAAGCTTCAAAATGAATAGAATCGTTTTTAATTAAAAAAGTAATAAGAGGTTTTTATAAAAGAAAGCACCAGATTCAATGTAAATAAAAGCTAAGGCTTGTCTAATACGAGTTAAGATCTATCATAATCTTGAATAACAAAATGAAACACGGGTTTCCAGTAATATAATGAAAACCACCGCCAAATAATTTAAAATAACTAAATAATCCCAAGCGGAGGTTTCCAATTTCCTCGTTTTCTCGCTTTTTCTTCGTCTTTGCGGAGTACAGTTTTCGTTTTGCGACCACTTTTCGTTTGCCTACGTGCCAGAAGAAGAAGAAGTGCAGAGGTGGGGAGAGGAAGAAGAGAGCCAACGTGTCTGCGCCCCGCTCCGCCCCCTGTTATGTTCCTCTCTCTCTTTACGCCCCTCTCACTTCTTGTCGAGCATAAATAATAATAGTAAATAACCCAGTAACAAGTGACAGTGCATAACCAAAATGAAAATAAAGTAAAGTTATTTTTCAGTTGAAATTGTGCGAAAAGTGAATGCCAAAAACTAAGCTTCGTGTGTTAAATAATACATATTCGAAAAGGGCGCCAAAACGGGTGTGTGCGTGTGTACTCCCAATTGATAAGATTGTTCAATTGATTTTTTAACGCCTAACTGGCCGCCCATCAATCGATTTACATGCAATGTGGGACACACGCACACAGACTGTTTGCCTCAGAAAATTAAAAATACATAAATAATTACTCGCCTGAATAAATACAAATACAAAATAAAGTACGTGTTTGCACAACAAATACAACAAAAATGCAAGTCAATAAACTTTTTGTATGACAAAAGAGTGTTCGAAAATGCCGCAGAAAAAGAGAAGGGGAAAGCTTTTGAAACCCATACACATGCATGTATGCGAAAAAGCTTTCGAGAGCCCAGTGTGTGCGTCGAGTTTTTTGCAAGTGTTTTTCAAAAATATTTTCAGTTTTGCCATGCCACAAAATGTATCAATCAGACGTCGTTGTTTCCCACAGTGTATGCAATTCCACAAATGCCGCGAAGATTCAAATTCAATCGCCAACCGAGTTCGATGCAAATGCCAATGCAAACGCAAGAAATCAATACGAAAATAATGGCAGGTGTGGTTGTTCAAGTGCCAGAGATAATGCCAGAGATAACGAAGAGATCGAAATCGAAATCGAAATCAAGATCGTGTGCAAGTTCAAGTGGTTGTGACCCTCGCATCGAATCAAAATCAATATCAATATCATTATCAGCCAGAGATTGACGACGGGATGCGGCCTTTTCCACCGACCATGTCACGAACTTACACGAATGATTGCAACGCATTGGTATGATTTCGTATTAAGTTCCACCTTAAACAAACACTTTGCCTTGCCCACTAAGAACTTGTAAAATACATATAGAACAATATTGTAATGTCTCGTGCAAACAAAAAACAGAGTGGCTCTCTCAGCTTGCAACCCCCCTCCAGATTCCAATAGCTAATCCTATCCTTCGATTCGCAGATGAGATCGAGAATCTCAAACTGGAGCAGGCCCGCATGGGTCAGCAGTGCGCGGACGCCCTGCGGCGCGAGAAGATCCTCATGCGGCGGCTGGCCAACAAGGAGCAGGAGTTCCAGGACTATGTGGTAGGCTCACCTGTCTTTAACCCCAAGTGTTCGAGTACGAATGTTTTTCTCTTCGCATTCAGAGCCAGATTGCCGAGTACAAGGCCCAACAGGCGCCAACTGCCTTGGCCTTGCGCACTGCCCTTCTCGATCCGGCGGTCAACCTTCTGTTCGAACGGCTCAAAAAGGAACTAAAGGCCACCAAGGCCAAGCTGGAGGAGACCCAGAATGAGCTGTCCGCCTGGAAATTCACACCGGACTCCAACACGGGTAAGCGCCTGATGGCCAAGTGCCGTCTGCTCTACCAGGAGAACGAGGAGCTGGGCAAGATGACCTCCAATGGCAGACTGGCCAAGCTGGAGACCGAACTGGCGATGCAGAAGAGCTTTAGCGAGGAGGTCAAGAAGTCGCAGTCGGGTAGGTCATTTTCAACTGATTCAATTAATGTTTAGAACTGAACGTAATTTTGAACTTTCTCTATTACGTTAAAACTTGTTTTTTCAAAATTCAAAGTCGATCTCAATATAATTTCGCGAAATATAAGCATTAAGAGAAAAGTCATTTACCCACTACCAGAAGATAAATTTGCCTAATAAAAACCCCCCATTCGCAGAGCTGGACGACTTCCTTCAGGAGCTGGACGAGGATGTGGAGGGCATGCAGAGCACCATTCTGTTTCTACAGCAAGAACTGAAGACCACTCGCGATCGCATCCAAACCTTGGAGAAGGAGAACGCCCAGCTGAAGCAGGTTAGCACGAAGGATGAGGTTGTGGCACCGGCGACAACCACCAATGGTGGCACCATCCAGACGGTGGGCAAACTAGAGACCATCGACGAGAACGCCTGTCTGGCGAGCAACCCATCAAATTCAGACTGTTACAATGGCAACACTAACAACGAACAGATCGTGGCCGTGCCACAGATACCACCGGCGGACGAGAGCAGCAATAGCAACGGGAATGCGGCGCGACTAGCCCGCAAGCGAAACTATCAGGAGGAGGAGATGCCAGCAATAGTTGTGCCCATAACAACGCCAGTGGGCAACACCGTCCAGGAAGCGCCGCCAATAAGGGAAGTTACTGCCCCTCGTACTCTGCCGCCCAAAAAGTCCAAGTTGCGGGGCATAACCACGCGACGCAACTCTCAGCTTGAAGAGGATCATCAGCCCGTGACGACGCCAGTGGCTGTGCCGCTAGTCCTGGACAACGCCGTGGCCGGAATGGCCAGTGAAGAGGCGGCCGCTGCTGCGGCGGCGACCAGCAACAACGCAGAGACGGGAGTGGTGGTTGGAGCTCCAATTGAGGCTAGCGATCCAGCTGCTCCGGCGGCACCGGCCCGCATACTGACCCGACGCCGGTCAGTCCGCATGCAGCAGAACGGCAGCGGAGCGGTCGACTACTCCACCTAAGCGTTGCTGGACCTTTTTTTTATAAAAAGGGTGCACTCTTTATGAGTTCGTCATATTGATCGTTAATTCCTGACGTTTACTTTTGTGCATTGAGATTTCAGAACCGAGACAGACTTCATTTTATAACTCTAAACTATCGTATTAGATTCTTTTATTTTTTTACACATGTCTTGTAAAATACGTTTGTTATTTTGTTTGCATGCAGCATAGGCATACTTAATACCCGAATTAATTAGAAATCACTGCAATACATACGAAATATAATTATGTAGACCAGTGTACCATTTCAGCCGACATGTACGGTCGATCTAAACAATAATGCTAAATCTGATAAACTATTTATGTTTTTAAAAACCACGGCAACTACTGAAATGCTGAAAAAGGAACTTCGACAAAAGAAAAAGAAAGAGAACTCGTCATTTAGCTAAATTAGATTTTAATTATGAACTTAAGGACTTTTTGTAATACGATGAAAGTTGTGTAAAATAATATAAACTTGTGTTAAAATAAATTGTTAAGCATAACAAATATTTCAAATAACCAGAATACTTTTCATTTGCATTTACTGGAAAGAAAACAATCGTTTTGATTTTCGAAATTATTTTGTGTTTATTATCAGTTTCTTCTTTTAGCACATTAGACAAATGGTTTTTACTTGTATTTGATTGAATTCGAAATATGTATATGTATGTAGTACATTTGTGGTTGCCAGCAAGAGTGTCTTGTTTCTTTTGTTTCGTTTGTTTGTTCGTGAGGAGAGTTTTAAATTTGAGATCGAGCTTAATGTCCTGGTGAAGAGGCCTGCAAGCTTGATATTTGCTCCACCCTACTTTCCATCGGGATGCACAAAATGAATAAGAAATGAAACAACCTGCGAGGAGGATAACAGGTTTCCCGGTTAGTCGCATCTAAAACCGCGCTTATGAGTTCAATATTAAATAGTTAATAACAAATTCTAGGCAGTTCGAATGGCACAAGTTAGTTTCACTACCATGGGGACATGTGGGGCTAAAGCTTAGCAAGTTCTGTTCCTATTGGAGGAGAGATCCTCTCGGCTGAGAGTTGTCTAGATGTACGATGGCTTGTCATGGTAAATTTTAACTATTCAATGTTTAAGTGTAGTATTATTAATAATTTAGTCACTAGATGCTGTTGCTGTTATTCAATCGTCTTCGATCTCGGCTCAGTTCTGTGGCTCGTATCAAGTAGTTAGTAATAAAAAGTATTTCTCATTTTTGTATGTAGGTACTTGTGGGTAATGCTAGGTATCGTCATCATCAGTGTATATAAAAACAATGCCTTAAGATCGGTTTTTCGCTTGTTTTGTTTCGGTTTCTGTTTAGTGGCGTACATCATCCTTCAACGCATGTCTATAAAAGTATGTAGTTTTTCAAGGCTCCGAGGCTGAACGTTCGGTTAGTTTTTGGGCTAAGCTAAGCAAATATACAAAAGCTACTTAAATTAGTTAGCATGTACTGTACCGGGCGTACTCGTAGGTATATCGTATTATCGTATGAGTGTGTATATATAATTAAATGGTTCCTTTATTCGCCTTTACCGATAGGTTTCTTGATCCGTTCTTTAAACATAAACTCGTAGCTAGGTGTTACTTACAAATGTGGCCTTCTTAGATTAGGATTAACACACACGCACACCTGCACACGCACCCACACACTCGCACACTCACTCACACACATAACCATGGGCAGTAGTCGGCATTTGGTACAGTGTGTGCCATAAGTTTTGTCGCCTGGATGACGGCGCTTTGCATTCAGCTCACTTGAAGGTTGCAAGTCGTTTAAGGCCGTTGTTGGAATTTTCAATTATGCGTATGTATATAATATATGTATATGCTTTAAATATCGGTTTGTCCTGTCTATTGGAAGGTCTACAATAAGCCCTGCGCCCCGTCCGTCATAGGCGGCACACACTGTCCGCGTTCACTGTGTCCGCTCGCTCCGTTCGACAGCGAACGCAGGATCGAAACGGATGCGAATGCGGATACGCACACTAGTATTTAGCTACTTAACAACTAATTTGGAAAAGTTTCTATAGGTGACCAAAAATATTGAACTGCGCTCAAGCGTTAGAGTAAAAAATTTCCCACCTCCCGGATTGCCCTTCGTATATAATACAAAAACATAGTCTATATCTAAGCTAAACCCATGGGCCGCCGTTACAGCCAGCGACTCAGTATGTGGCAGAGGAGCAGGAGCCCCAGATTCGCGTAGACGGAGCACGCCTTTCCGCACAGCTTGATGCCGCTCTCCTGAAACGGAACAATTAGATAAATTATTAAGTGGGCACTGATTTGATTTGCACCAAAATTTGGTGGGAGAGAGGAAACGCTTTACATCGCCATCAGAGGCTCATAAGTTGCTATTAACCTACAATCCGTCCATATATGTCTTCACATTTTTGGTACATTAATACAAGTATTAATCAAGTATCTTTATCAACAGTTTTTGGTACTTTGTGTTTTTTTTCTTTTGCGTCTTACACCGTTAAATTTCCAACAGTACCTTAAGGGAACGTTTTGGAGGGTATAGTGATGAACTTTTTTTTTCAAGAATTTCTATTGACTTAGAGGTGGTTTTTGTGAAAATAAGCATATAGTATTAAAAGATAACTTAAAATTCTTAAGCCTTATATTGTTTTTATCAGTTAAATAGCAATTTGAAATAAAAAATTAAATTCGAGAAATTTTGTTTCGGTATATTTTGACACTATCATTATCGTTATTTTTTCTTATCCATGGCCATTTTTCAATCTTAAAGAAAAAACAAATCATTTTCACATCTGCATAGAGTTTTAGCGTGTACTAATCAGTTCGTCACCTTACCCTACAACTTTTAAAAGTGAAAAAAATTGGCTTAAGAGCTTTACAATTTAACTCCTCTGGAATTTCGTTATCGAACTTTTACACGAATATGCTCAATAAATTCAGAAACTTTTTGCTTTTAAACTCTTGATATTGATTATTGGAAAAGTGGCATTCAAAATACGAATCGTTCGTTACTATACCATACAATCGCCTAAGTAAAAGCTCATTAATTGGCTGCTAACAGTAATAAGCGATGGCATATCACTTAAAAGTAAGGAAACATCAAAAACAACCTCTAGCTCATTCCCAAGGACCGCAGAACCCCAGCCCCAAGGACCCGAAGAACTTACATTCGCGTGCCGACTGATGCAGCTGTGGGGCCGCATGCGGTTGAACTCCCGAGCCTGCTTGTAGCAGGCAAGCGAGTCGTTTACCGACAGGTGGTAGTCGATCGGCTGCGGATTGACCGTGAGGACGACGGTGCCGTCCCGTGGACACAGCTGGTCGATGACCAGCAGGATGAGGTTGCTGAACGGGATGGGCAGGACGACAAATGGCCGCTCACATGCATGGGCTGTCATATTGTAGACAACGTTGTCCTTCTCCTTGTACAGCGTGTAAAGTTCGCGCTTCATGTCGCACGGCTTGAGCCGTGTGCGGTGGAGTGTCAGGTAGCGCAGCCAGTAGTCGTCGTCCTTCTTCCCGTGCCCATTGCCGTTGCGGCCATGGTGCTCCGGATGCGGCTCCGGCGGAGGAGGCTCGGTGTCGTTGGAGTCGCCGTACATATCCGCATAATGGCTGGACACTCCGGGCGCCCACTGCAACAGTTGCACAATATACCACAGCGCCGTATGCAGCAGCCATTTGCCCACTCGCAGCAGATGAATCAGGGGCTAAAAAACGGTGTGGTATTAGTACCGATTCGTGTCAAACAGCCGAACCTCTATAACTCACTAAATTTCGAGAATTAAACCGTTAATATAAAACTATGTTTGGGAATAAAAGATGAGTTTTTGGAGGGTAAAATACTGTATCTGTAGCGAAAGATCGATTTCGCTGTAACAAGCCACTATTTGAGTTATAGAAGTTAGACTGCAACTAACCAAGTCAATCAGTTAAACCAATCCTACCGAAAGCAACATGCTGGAGGCATTGTTGTCGTTCTTGGACTCGAAGCACACCGCCTGGTAATCGTATACGGTGACCTGTTTGTAGACGTTCTCCTCCAGCAGACGCTTCATGATCGCTCCGTTTACCTCCCCGAAGAACCTCCCAGTCTCGTGGACCCTCGTCGATATGACCACATAGCCATTGTTGTCCAGTATATAGCAGTCTTTGTCATCCACGGCACAGGCCTATGGAGAATTTGTAAGTAAATAGTTAAAGGTCAGGGGCTTTACTCACATTGCCGGTGATGTTGTGGAAGAGTTTGTAGAGCGCCGAGTGCTGGAACTGGAAGCCCACAACTGCCGCCGGCGCTGTCTTTCCGCCCTCATTGTGGAAAACTGCATGGCTAGCGGTCACCAGGATCTCTGAATTGCTTTCTACGGGTGAGAAACAAAATGTCATCGTCACATTACGTCTGAAAGTAATGTACATCTCAACTTACCACCCGCATCGAAGGGCACGGAGTATACGAAGCTCTCCTCCCGTACAAAATGTTGGTCCACGGCGCGCTTATACCAAATCTCATCGATGGCCCGTGTGTTGTTCTGGCTAAAAGTCTCGCTGGAAGTGGATTACCCATAAGCTTAGCTCCCATCAAAACTGCCGGGGCTTCCCAGACTCACCCGACTCCAGATTCCTCGGCAGCGTTCGAGTGGAACTCATGCCAGCGGGTGAGGCCACTATGGGTGGCCAAAAATGCGACGGTGACGCCAAAGCGCTGCTTGAATTCATTTCTGTGCAAACAGATCAGTTAATTAGAAAACCAGACAACATAACATTATTTAAAACATGGAGACTAGACAACTTAGACTAGTTAGGAGGACTGAGTATCGAAGATTATCATTCATTGTTTACCTTGGCAACAAACCCATTAGAACGGCTATTGGGCTTGATGCGCTTGTGCTATATTTGTGAATGGTTTGGTATTTCATAATGGAGAGGCATTATGTTTTGTGGTATCAAGTTCGGGATATTTAAGAGTCCATATTATAGATACAGTAGAGTGGTATTAGAGTGGTGGGTGCAAAAATTCAATATGAGAAAGACATTAAACGACAGCGACAAGGACGACAAAGAATTGGTATAAAATGCAAATAAATGTGAGAAAAAGAAGGGCGTACACAGAAATAAAAACGGTTAATATGTGCTGCTTTTCCGGTGCGTAAACTCGAGTGCATGGCGTTGACTGTACTGAAGGTGTCTGACGAGTCAAGCCTAGCATTGTTAAGACCCCCAAAGTCGCCGTTCTTCGCCACTTACCCCTTGTCGTCCTTGGAGTTGAAGCTGGTGTTGTTGGAGAACCACCCGGTGACTCGGGCATCGAAGACCAGAGCCTGCATCAGCTGCCGATCGCCTGAAATTCAAATTCACAGGGTCAAATCAATCCAGGATTGTAAGGGAGGAAC